ACTCAATATTCATATGTTAAGTATACATCAAGTGAACTGTTCCTGTCATCTAGAATGACCATCTATTTAATAAAGCCATGAAACAATTAGAGAACTTTCAGAAAACAAATGGGCAAAATGCTGTGTTACAAAAACATGTCCTGCCTTGTTCATCCTGTCCATTTTTAGATTGGTCTGGATAATAGTGAAATGCAGAACTGTTTGCCACACAGATGCAATGTTTTGCAGCTGTTGGAAATGTTCCCCCTCACCCACAACCCCTTTGCTTTCTTCACATAAAATTATGCGGTGCTGACACCATTAATGCTAGAAGATGGGATTTGAGAATTTGAATGTTTGTTTACATAAAGATGTAATACAGAGAGATAACTGCACATTCAGGCACCTGAATATAACTGCCTAGATGACTTTATTGAAACTGTCCTTAAGGTCACACTAGCCTTAAGGTCATGGAGTTTTAGAGACTGCCTTTAAAACTCCTGTCTGTAGAATTGCTGCCCTCTAGGACTGAATGTCTGAGGACAGGGCTTATATGTATTTATTTTTAAATCTCTTGTAACTAGCATAATACCTGGACATAGTAGGCACTTTATATGTTTGCGAATATTTTATGTTGCAAGATGAAGCCAAATGAAAATATCGTTTAGATGTAGTATGGTACTAAATCAGAAATTGTAATTTTTTTAAACTGATGCCATGTGGTACACTCTGTAGTAGTCATATGAACAGAGTGCCATGGCCTCAGAGAGAAGGGGAGTGAATAATTCTCTCCATGGAAGTCACGGAATACTTTATATTTTTATATATCATGGAAAATACTTCCCTGGACTACAATTGGAGAATCTGTTTTGAAGAGAATTTTTTCCTCATCTAAGAGAAAATGTATTTTTCAACAGCAGTGTTTTCCTCCCATATCCCCATTTTTGTCATTTTTGATGCATTATATAAATAACCAAATTAATGATTCAAAATTGGAAAGTTTTAGAGCATGCTTTCTTTATATAAAACCAATGTTTTATTTTCTATAGTTATTTCTATGATGAGAGTTATGTAGGCTTTGGAGTCAGACACAAATAGGTTTGAGTCGCTTATTTTTGAATCCCAACTTACTAAACTGTTTACCTCAAGGAAGCAACTTAACCTCAACATGTCTCAATATTTCTGTCTGCAAAAATGGGGCTAATATCTACTCTGAATGGTAGTGTTACGAGGATGAAATGGGGTACCTCTTGAGTACATGGCAGCAGCATTATTCCTGGTGCGTATTAGGAACTCAATAAACATAATTTCCTTTTTATTCAGAGAAGAGGGTTGTAGTGATCAAGGCTAGTACTTTTCTGGCATTGACGAAACTACTCATCTCGGAGACTGTAGTATACCCTCAAGTTTCTATTTGTTCAGCATGTGCATAGTACCCAGTATCTGCAAAGGCATTGAGATACGTGGCGATACTGCAGTCTTGTTGGGGCTGGGGGTGAGGAGTTGAACACCAAATATTGAAATCATGATGAAAGGTAGTAAATTACTGAGATTCTGAGAAGGGGGGTTCTGAGAGGGAGGTCACGATAAACTGCAGTGATTAGGCATCCTTCATAGTTGTAGCATAGCTGCAAACTGAACCTTCAAGGCAGAATGGAGAAAACATTCAGGCTTAAAGAAGACTAGAAAGATCAAATGCTCAGTCTTCTGAGAGAATATTTTTGTGTGCTATAATTGACAGTGGTTCCATGCATACAGAACAAAAAATTGTCATAGCAGACTGAAGCTGGCTGTGTTGACCCGAAGAAAGCGTAGGAAAGCATCCTGGATGTACTGTTGCCTGTTTTCCTGAGTCATAAGTAGCATATCATTTATTCTGCATATGCTTGGGACTCTTAAGCTAGGAAAGCATATACTTTGAAGTTTATAAAAGTATAGATGTGTTCGCAAGTTTTTCCTTTTTATCTGAGAATTCATAACAGATGATAAATTTTATTTCTATGTAAGAGGATGGAAACCTGTTTACATTTGAGAAAAGACCAGTAAAACTAGTAACATTTTTGGAATTGTTGGGGTGTGGAAGGAGGGATTTGGAGGAGAAGTATTGTGTGTCTTATAAGCAATTATCACAAGATAAGAATTCGTTCCTTGCAACAAAGTGTGATTAGAAACCATTGGAAAATTTTGAGGGTTCTAATGAAACATTTAAGGAATTTGATTTTTACAGTTATTAGGATAGTTTAAAGGGAAAAGAAGTCAAAATATTAAGGACATTTACAAAGAAAAGTTTGGTATATTTGAGGCTTGAAATAATCTGAACTAAAGTATTGAAGAAGAAAGGTCCAAAAAAGCAATAGTGAGAGGCTGTTGGGAGTGTAGGGTTAAAGGAGGACAACAGATCAAAAATGGCTTCAAGGCTTTGCCTTTAGGGGATGAAAGAGTAAATTTTGAAGTACTATCTCGTCATTATCATTGCTCTAGCATAAGAGATAAGAGCTGTAATTCACTCTCAGGTCCCTCCCTAGTTTTCTCTCCCTAGTTAACTGAATAATGAATGAAGTGGCAAATTTTTGCTGTGGGATGCTTTTGAAACAAGGTTTCTTCTCTTCAGTTACCTAATTGGGATAGGGTATTACATATTTTCACTAGGGGTAACAGTATGTGTTGTTTCCATTAAAGACTAGGTAATTTGAATGTGATAGAAGATATTGGTATGTTTTTAGAAATACTGAAATGATTTGGGGAAAGGAAAAAAATGTGTAAAGATACTTTGAAAACTTTGAGGGCTTTTAATTTGTTAGAGTTGCTGTTTTGGGGTGGTGTTTTCCTGTAAAAACTTAACCCCAAGGACATGTTTTACTTCTGCTGTTGTTAATAGGTCTCTGTTCATTTAATAGGTGGCGATTATCATGAGCATTTTGGGAAAAAAAATTTAACGGAAGTTTTGTTGGGCGGAAAGTATACTCTTGGCTTTTTTAGGTATGTTATACTCCAGGTATTTTAGACTACAAGGCAAGAGGCAGAAATCTAGAAGGATACTAGGGGCAGAGCAATATTTTCAGCAGAATTGTTTTCCTCCTCTTCAGCTTTCTGTGTTATCCTATCCCTCTCCCTTCTTAGTAGCTCAGAACATACCCTCCTCCAGCTTCCTGCAGAATTTAACACTTTTGCTTCAGTGTTAAAGCACAAAGTGAAATAAAGAAGAGTGCCTAGATAGCACTACCAGCATTTTTCAAGCACTAACTGTGTGTCTAGTACTATGCTTCGTTCTGGGCATGCACATGTGTATAACACACTCCCTGTCTTGAGAAGCCCACAGTCTGGTGAACATTCATAATTTACAGTTACGCTTTTATGAAGCTACTCAGAGAGCTGATTTTCCATTTGATAGTCTTAACAAAAAGTAATTTTGCATATAATCAAAAAAGCAATACTAGCATGGCTTTTCTTCATAGACATTAAAACTTCTTTTTGGAACTGCACACTTATATTTTTAAGAATTGTTCTTATAAAGAGCAAATACTTCTTACACTTCGTATTGTTTGGCTAATTTATTGTCATTTGGCCAAATGACAAGGCATTTTTTTGGTAGTATATTGAGCTAAATATAGCTGTTCAATGTTTACATTGAAAAATTAGTATTATTAAAAAGGGTATCTTTTTAGTCCATGTGTTCTGATCATTAACATTTTGTTTAATCTTGAAGCTATATTATTTCTTCTCCGTATTCCCCTTTTGAGTACTTTTGATTTTCTGTAATATCTTTCAAAACTTTTTCTTTCCCAACATTAAAATCCTTTGATGTATAGAGAAACATCGTTTAAAAATCCATTAGCAAGATCCCTTATGATGATAACAGGATACATTTTTTTTTCCTTGCTCTTTTATTGTACCTTGTTAAGCTGGTCTCACATGAACTTTCTTAGAATCAGGCAGTTCCTGGTTCCTATGGGACTTCCTGTTTTCTCAAATAAAAATAGAAAAGCATCTCAGAAAGGAAACCTGGTCAGTGTGAACTACTTTGTGAGATCAGTTAGTCTTAGTCGTAACCTGGAGTATACAGATATATAGTCTATATAAAATATAAAAGTTTACAGGTGTCTGAAAGCTTTGAATATTTTTGTATGTGATATTAAAATAAACAAAATGATAAGGAGAAGATTATGAATAAAAACCCTGAGAGGTGCTACATATTCAGCCATAAACATTTTTGTATCTTAATTTAGAGGTGAAGGAGGGGCATAGGGGTTGGATGGAAAGTGGTAAATCCTTTCCTTATTATGTAATATTTTATTGGGCATTTGGAATTGTCTAATACTGAGACTTAATGCTTAGTTACTTCGATCTGTATTTTTTTTTTCTTGCCACTTTTTCAGATGTTAGCAAGGATTAGGAAGGTGGATTTAAAAAAATTAGAAGTCAATTCTAAATGAATTATTTAGTTTTAAAGCATCTTATAGATTTCTTTCAGTAGTTAACTGCTTCTTACTCTATATTTTGAAGTGAAATCAAGTTAAGGTGGAAACAAATGATATAGTCATTAACAGTAATAATAATGAATAGTGTGTATTGAGTGCATATTAAGTGCTTGACACTGTGTCAAACATTTTATCTTGTTTATCTCATTTAATTCTGACAACAACTGTATAAGGTAGGTATCATTGTTATCCATACTCCTTTAAATAAGAAACTACAATTTAGAGTAGCTAATTAGATGTTAGTTTAAGGAGACATTACTAATAAGTGGTAGAGGTGGAGCTGGGACTTGAACTCAGCTTCTGTGACACCAGAGCACCTGATCTCAGTGATTATGAGAAAAACCACTAATTCAGAGTGAGAATGATAAGTGTAACTCTGAAAAATTACTTCCCCAACCATTATTATCACCAGTTTGTTTACATTTGGTTTGCATATTTATATCTAGTTTTAGCAAAGTACATGCTGGCATTTCAGAGAGTTTGTTTGGGGGATTTTAATTCTTAAGTGATGCTAATACTTCTCTTTTTTTCTTTCCTTGATAGTAGAAAACCCCTTTGGTGAAACATTTGGAAAAATACAAGTAAGTAAATGATCATAGTACTGATAATTTCATGTCATGTTTTATATGATAAAAGCATTAGAATACTATCAACTAAAAAAAGTAATTTTAAAGTTATTTTAGTCTAAAACAATAGGTTTTATCAAGTAAAAAATAGTAATTTTAGGGTTATTTTAGTCTAAAACAATAGGCTTTCTTATTCTGAGTGTTCCTTAACTGTAGTATAATTAAATCTGACACAGATTTTCTCTTAAGAGCTGAACTGTTTATCGCTTTACTGTAAAAGACAACTGCCAAGTAAAATGGGAGTGGCATATCATCAGTGGATCTTATCTTACACTTAAAAGTATACCTATTGCCTGTAGTTGTTGGATACCTTAGCAGTTTTTGTCCGTTTTGCCCTCATTTTATCTCTTTGGATCTTCTGCATATTGGCATGCCTATTCGACCATTATAAGGACTTAGAAAGACAGCATGTCCTTCAGGCTATTTCTTTAATTTTTTAAAGAGTGCTATAATACTAATTTTAACCTAAATCTTACTTATGTAAAAATATTTTTCACTTACCCATCATTACAGGGACTTCAGAGATTAAGATGTTTAAGCTTGTAATTAGTTGTTAATTTTTAATTATAGGAACTGTTATATAGACTTGCATAGAAAACATTATTTGTAGTACTGAAGGATGTGTAATAATGTGTAATCACATCCATAGAATATTACTTTCTGTTGTTAAAGTGGAACTCTGAAATGATTAGTAATATTCTATTGTGGTGATAATTGTTTAAAACAAAGTTGGCTTTTTCAGTTGCATTATTAAGTGTAACAGTGCTACAGTGTCATAATTTAAATTTGGTACAGTATACTTACTGAACATTGGAAATAGAGGACTATTTTTTCTGTTTAATTTTCCCCAAGGAGGAAACTGAAGTTCTGAACTTCTGAATAATAGTAATAATTACAATGAAGATAGTGGCTGTTTACTTATATTAAATGGTCATTCTGTACAGGGCCCCTTGCCAAGTTGTATTCATCTGTTCTCACGCTGCTAATAAAGATTTACCGAGACTGGGTAATTTATAAAGGAAAGAGGTTTAATTGACTCACAGTTCAGCTGGGGAGACCTCACAATCATGGCAGAAGGTGAAAGTCATATCTTACCTGGTGGCAGGCAACAGAGTATATGCAGGGCAACTCCCCTTTATAAAACCATTGGATCTTGTGAGACTTATTCACTATTCATCACGAGAATAGCATGGGAAAAAAAGCCACCCCATGCATGATTCAGTTACCTCTCACCACTACCTCCCAAAACACGTGGGAATTATTACCTCCCAAAACACGTGGGAATTCAAAGTAAGATTTGGGTGGGGACACAGAGCCAAACCATATCACAAGTGTCAAAATTCATTATTATTTAATCAAAGACATAATGCAAACAGTTAAAAATATCCTTGAAGAGAAAATTGGCTGAGGGTTAAAGAGGGAAATATTTAATGGTGATAATATATGAGAAAATTGGATAGAGTCACCCTATGGATTTTTCTCCCTCTAAAATGAAAAACAATAATCTGGCCCTTACTAAAACAGACAATTATAAAGTAGCTAATTCAAATTATAAAATTGCCTTTATTTAATGAAAGATTATTCGAAAGCTTATTTTATGTATTTACTTGTGGAACTTTAACTAGTTTGCAGAATGATTAGGGAAGCCAGTAGTTAGACATTAAGCTGAAATATTAGGAGACAATCTGAAAAGCAGTCAAAGTGGAAGAAGAGTATAATGAAACTGTAAACCAATAAGTAAGTTTAAAAGTTGATTTGTATACTTTTCAGATTTACTGCTAGTTTAGTGTACTTGTACTAAAGATAATTGAACCAAAACCCTTCTATTTCTTTCTCAAAATGTATTCATTCACTTAACAACATATATCATGCCACTGCACTCTACTACAGCCTGAGTGACAAAGCAAGACTGTAAAGATAGATAGATAGATAGATAGATAGATAGATAGATAGATAGATAGATAGATATAGAGAGAGATAGAGAGATAGTAAATAGTATGTGTGTGTATATATATATATCATAAACACCTATTTAGATTATAATTTAGTTGGCCATTTGGATAGCAGTTAAGGCCCTTCTAGTATATACATGGTCATTTAAACTCTCTGTCTGTTATTTATTCAGTTTTTGAGACAAGGTCTCATTTTTATCACCCAGGCTGGAGTGCAGTGGCATGATCACGACTCACTGCAGCCTCAACCTCCTGGGCTCAAGTTTTCCTCCCACCTCAGTCTCCCAAGGAGCTGGGGCTACAGGTGCACACCACCACACCCAGCTAAATTTTGCATTGTTTTGTAGAGATGGGGTTTTGCCACATTGCCCAGGCTGGTCTCAAATTCCTGAGCTCAAGCAGTCCTCCTGGCTCAACCTCTGAAACTATTGGGATTTCAGGTGTGAGCCACTGCACCCGGCCTTAAATAAATTTTCACTGGAACGATAATTCTTGTAAAAAACTATAGTTGAGCTTTCTGAGTTCTTACGTTATTTGTATGAGAATTTAGCAGTGTGTGTGTTATCCAGTATGAGATCAGTTCCATCTGGTTAAGTGTTGTTGCTTGTACTTATCTAGTCCTGTGTAATATCTGTGAATCAAAAGCTAAAGTTTATTCCCAGGTCCCTCTTATGTTTATTAAAGATGTAATCAGAAGACAGATGCCAAATGTTTAAATTTTGTTTTGTTTTTGAAAGGGGAGTGAGGAAGGGTATGATAGGACATATAAAACAAAAAGAAAGACACTTTCTGTTACTTTAATCCCAAAATTTAACTAGATTCACCTTGGTTTTATGTGTCACAATCCATAAGCTACACTATCATTGGAACACCTACTCATCCTGTTATGTTGAAGTTATTTATTAAAAATGATTTTGTGGTTTAATGTATCAAAATGCTTAGATTTCAGAATCCTGAGTTTCAGCCCCTGCTCTTACTTTTTTTTTTTTTTTTGAGACGGAGTCTTGCTCTGTCACCAGGCTGGAGTACGGTGGCCTGATCTCCGCTCACTGCAACCTCCGCCTCCCAGGTTCAAGTGATTCTTCTGTCTCAGCCTCCTGAATAGCTGGGACTACAGGTGCATGCCACCACGCTCAGCTAATTTTTTGTATTTTTAGTAGAGACGGGGTTTTACCATCTTGGCCAGGCTGGTCTCGATCTCTTGACCTCATGATCCACCCGCTTCAGCCTCCCAAAGTGCTGGGATTACAGACGTGGGCCACCGCACCTGGCCTACTCTTACTTTTTGATATCTAATTTTTGCAGTTTGAATTTTTGTTCTTATGTGAAGGTAAGGACTGGCTTGATTCAGAATCTGAATAAGATAAAGTTGAGGCAAAATATATATATATGTGTATATGTATGTGTGTGTGTGTATATATATATAGGAAGGCAAGTAGTAAACTGAATGAATAAGTAACTTATCTCAGTCAACCATCTGACATAAAACCAGCTATTCTGGTGGTAGGATCTTGGCACTTTTGATGAGTTTTCTTCTTAGTATAACTGATTAAATCTGCAGTGACAAAAGCATGCCACCCATAGTGTGCAAACATGTTCTCTTCTGTCCCTGAACATACACCACAAAATAAGTGGATGAGGTTGCATGTTATTAGACATATAAATGTTATTTTTCCAGCCTTTTATATCTTGCTTCAATTTGCTCCATAATCTGTTCATCCAGTAAATCTGTTTTGTTGGAAACTTCAGGAAGACAGAAAATAATAAAGACAGAGCCCCCTGATGAATCATGGATTTATTTTAGATAGTGCAATAAGCTATTACCCCTTCCCCAACCTACCCTCCTCTATCATTTATATGAGTCCCTCTTGATCGTAATTGCTCTTAAATTGGGGGTCTTGTTGCTTTAGACTACTTGGCAGGTGCTTAGGCTGTACCATTGCAATAATTCTCTATCTAGACTCTTTATACAATTATTTCTGCTTCCAGGCCAGTCTATACATTCTACATTCTGGCCGGATAGTATTCCTGATGTACAAGTCTGTTTTACTCTCCTGCTAAATTTTCAGAATGAAGTCAAACTCTCTGTGTTCCTATCCAAGGCTGTCTGGTAGTTAATACTAAACAACTTTTCTAGTAGTTTGCAGAATCAAACTAGGCTACTGGTTATGTAAGAAATATAACTAATGCTTTCATACCTTCATGCCCTTGCTAAGGGTCTTTCCGATTGCCTAGAATGCTGATCTGTTATTTTTTCCTTTGAAACCAAACTCAAATATTCTGTTCAATAGATTATCTTCCCTCCTTCCCTTCCTCTGTATTTACAGAAGAAGGAGGGAAGAGAATCTTCTGTATTACTTTACAGTTGTTATATAACATTTAATATGTCTTTTGCCCTTGAGAACAGGAACCATCTTGTTATAGATTATCTTCCCTCCTTCCCTTCCTCTGTATTTACAGAAGAAGGAGGGAAGAGAATCTTCTGTATTACTTTACAGTTGTTATATAACATTTAATATGTCTTTTGCCCTTGAGAACAGGAACCATCTTGTTCACTGGGTCTCTCGCTTTGCTGAGAGAACAGTTCTTAACTCCTAGTAGATGTTTGTTGAATGTTTGTTTCATTTTAATGGTTCATAAGTTTATACAGGGGCACCTCATTCCCTTAGTTTTATGTGGTTGAGTTAGATTAAAACAAGACATGAATGGGGGCAGCCTTGATGAAGAAAACAGTCTCATATGAGCAGTTTACATAAGAATACATTGTTTAGAGGGGGTTGGGAACATTGCTTTGGTGATTGATGGAGTTTATTGTCTGTGAGACCTTTTTTAGCACTAACCTTATGCCAATTTTTAAATAATTCTCCAGAAAGTGAAATATTTAGAGCAATAGAGTCTTAGATTAAGGTTTCTTAAAAATATGGTGCCCATTACTTAAATATGAATTTGTCTTTCAGATTGTGTGGCTTCTATGATTTTAAATTTACTGCTTTTTCTTTTTGAATAAGAATTATTTGGTGTATTTTTTTTCTTGGAATTGGGTATTTCATAATAACTTCTTTTAATTATAGGAAAGTGAAAAAAATCTTATGATGAACACATTGTATAAGCTTCATGATCGATTGGCACAGCTTGCAGGTAATTGTTTTAACTTTTGTAGTTGCTAAAAATGTTTTGAAAAATGTATGTAGCATGTTATTAGTAGAAAATCTTTTTCCAAGTCCAGTGTTATATTTGTGGAATATTTTTCTTTAGAAGTTTTTATTACCTATACAAAGTGATTTTTGATTTTTACATGTGTATTTAATCAAGGCTTTTTTCCTGTCTTCCATCTGTATTAGAGGTTATATATATATACATATTTATATATATTATATAGTTATAAAGTTGATAAAATTCTTTATTGCATTAATAGTAACAAAAAATCCTGAAAGTTTAAGTATCAGAGGAATTAGGTAAGCAATGAATTAACTAAAATATTGGATTAAATATACAAATGCAGATTTTCTTTTATTTGTTGTATAGGTATCATTCTATTGGATAAAGTAAATTTATTCTCCTGCAGTTTTCTCTCCTGATTCATTGCATTTTCCTCATATTCTGCTCGTAGCAATTCTTTGAGAGCTCTAAGGTAGTGAGCTTGTCTGAAATTGGAATAATTTATTATAGATGAATTGGTATCAAGTTTAGCACATATAAACTGCAGTAGCAGCTTATCTATTGCCTTTTTTTAGTTCTTTTTTTATTTTTATTTTACATATAATCTGAAAGAAGAGAATTGGATTCTTGTAAGCAGTCATAAGAAAAGAAAAATACAGTTTTCAAACTTTTCTATGTAGCAGATCTTTTGTGTAAACCAGATTATTGGTAGCAGCCTATAGGTAAATATGGAACTTCTCTGGTTGAATGGAAGTATTTAGGATCCTGACAGTTTCCCATTCTCTCATCTGTCTTTGTTTTGTCCATTAGGTGCTTAATTCTGGTCAATTTTTTAAGCTTTTAATTCTGTATTATATTGCCAAAAGCCTTCTTTGCTTTGATTGTCATTCACACACTGCAAGCTAATGACATTTATTTGCTATACTGTAGCACTCAGAGATAGGTTAAGTATATGCTAGTTGTGCTAGCCAGGGATATTGCTAACACAAGCTTCTACAGGTATCTCTGTAGCATTGTTTTATCAAGTATGGTTAATGGCCAGCTAAATCAGCATAATCTGGTGTGCTTTTAAAGATAAGATTCCTTCCCCTTGAGTAAGGGTCAGCAAGCTTTTTTTCTGTGAAGGGCCAGATAGTGGATATTTTAGGCTTTGTAGATTAGTTTGCCTCTGTCATAACCACTCAGTTATGTTATACCATGAAAGCAGCCATAAATACTACATAAGTGAATGAGCTTGGCTGTATTCCAATAAAACTTCCTTTATAAAAACCAGCAGTAGGCCAGATTTGACCCATGGGCTGTAATTTGCAGACCTCTGCTCTAAATCTATGGGATCTACATCTCTGAGGATGCACTAATAAACTTTCAAGACTTGTTCATTTAATAGGTACTTCTCCCCTTTTTATAGCTACTGATACTAAAATAATTACTTGAACAAAACTGAAATAAGAACATGGCAACTTTTATTTTAGAAACATTTGCCAAGGGTTTTACTTTAATTATTCTACTTTCATGTTAACAAAACTACTTGAAAGACACAGGGAAGGGAAAACGTGACAATTGGAGTTCAATATGAGGATAATTTATTTCTAATAACCGCTTACAGTCTAAAGAAAAAGCTCTGAATTCTCTTCTTATCAACAATTAAAATAAAAGATAAATGTAGTTTTCCAGTGATTTATATGTAGCACATCCCTTTGTAGAAACCAGATCATAGGTGGAAACTTGTACCTGATTTCCCTGTTGATCTGTTACAACAATTTTTTTTTAAGATTTTTTTGAGACAAGATCTTTTCTGTCACTCAGGCTGAAGTGAAGTAGGGTGATCACAGCTTACTGCAGCTTTAAATTCCTGGAGTCAAGCTGTCTTCTTGCCTCTGCTTCCTGAGTAATTGGGACTACAGATGCACACCACCACACCTGGCTATGTTATAACAATTTTTAAGGCATGTACACCCCTTGCTAAAGATAGGATTAGTTATACTCTGAAAATGCACATACTTTAATTCATTAATAAATTCAAACTTACTTGAACCTTTAAATGATTAGCTTTAAGAATAGATGCGTAAAATAAGTTAGCACAATGAATTTGCTGAATTTTTTCCCTTTTAGGAATAATACATATTTCTGGAGGGCGTCTTGTGTGCCAAGATCTGTGGATAAGCATCAGTGTGACATAGTTCCTATAACAGCTTACAATTTAGTTGGGACTATAAGAAAAAGATATGTTCCCGTTTGGACTGAAATGCATTTAAAAGTTGTGGTTAATGTAAGGGTAGTTGTTTGTTTATATTCTTACTGGAATTTCTTTGTTTATATTCTTACTGGAATCGCTTCTAGAAAGTATAAATAATATTGTTCTTGTTCTTTGTTTACTGATTATAATAATATAACCTATAATTGTATAATATATAAAATATTTGAATTAATTGTTTGTTTTCTTGTGTTTAAGAGAGTACTGATTCAAAATTAATGATATGCTAATCTTTCCAGGAGATCATGAATGTGGCAGTTCTAGTCAAAGAACGCTTTCTGTTCAAGAGGCAGCTGCGTATTTAAAAGTAAGCAGTGAAATTAGAATTTTAATAGCTGTATTTTAAAAAATTATATAAATCATTGCTACTTGTAAGAATCATATATTTGATTATTTTAATTGTACTGTTAAAAGCTTGGACCTACTGTTTGGTGTAATATGAGCAGTTATGAGAAGGTGAAATTGTGCAACTTTTTTTTTTTTTTTTTGTGAGACAGAGTTTCATTCTTGTTCCCCAGGCTGGAGTGCAATGGCTGATGTCGACTCACTGCAACGTTCACAACCTGGGTTCAAGCGATTCTCCTGCCTCAGCCTCCCAAGTAGCTGGGATTACAGGCACCCACCACCTCGCCCAGCTAATGTTTTTTGTATTTTTAGTAGAGATGGGGTTTCACTATGTTGGCCAGTCTGGTCTCAAACTACTGGCCTCAGGTGATCCGCATGCCTCGGCCTCCCAAAGTGCTGGGATTACAGGCGTGAGCCACCTGTTCAATTTTTTTTTAGTTTGTTTTAGAACATTCTCTATGAGAGAATGCATATTAATTTGGAAAGGGTACAAAGAAACATTGGTCAGAGGGAAATTGAGATAGGTGAGTAGTAGCATGTAAGAAAGCAGGTAAACATCTAACCATTTATTTAAAATCTTCTGTCCCAGATCAGTTTCTTCTCAGAATACTAAGAGAAGTTGCTGTTCTATTTTCTCAACTACTGTAAATAATTTCTGGAAAATCTTAATGAAAGGAAAGGTACTAGAAGATTAAAGATGGATAAATGTCATTCTGATTTCTCAGAAGTGGAAAGTGGAATTTGAAAACCATATAGGAAAGCTTGTTGTCAGTCCAGTTCCATAAAGATAATTTCATAAAGATATGAGTTCTTGCAAATGGAAATGTTGATCCCTGGAAGGTGGCTGGCATTTGAATGTGGACAAGTCATGCTATACAAATTTCATGCCTCCCATTCCCTTGTTAAAATTGTGGTAAAAAATACATAACATGAAATCTATTAACATATTTTTAAGTATACAGTACAACTATATGTGCATTCTTGTACGGCAAATCTCTAGAACTTCTTCATCTTTTATGACTGAAACTCTATACTCATTGCATGGCAGGTCCCCATTTTCCTCTGCCCCATATCCCTGGCAACCACCATTTTACTTTCTGCCTCCATCAGTGTGATTAACAGATACCTCATATAAGTTGAATCCTGCAATTTTTGTCCTGTGACTGGCTTATTTCTCCTAGCATAATGTCTTCAGATTTCATCCATATTGTAACGTGACAGTATTTCCTTCATTTTTTAAGGCTGAGTAGCATTTCATTGTATGTATACACATATTTTCTTTATCCAGTCATGTTGATGGGCTTTTAGATTGTTTCCACCTCTTGGCTGTTGTGAATAATTCATCAATGAACATGGCAATGCAAATACTTCTTTGAGACTTTACTTTTAATTCTGTTAGACAAATACCTAGAAGTGGGATTGATAGATAATATGGTAGTTCAACTTTTTATTTTTTGAGGAACCTCCACACTGTTTTCATACTGACTGTACCATTTTACATTCCCTCCAATAGTATAGTAGGATTCCAGTTTCTCCACATCCTTACCATTTATTTGCCTTATAGCGCACTGTATTTTCAATTTATGTTTCCCTGATGATTACTGATGTTGAACATCTTTTCATATACCATTTATATACATATACATCTGTGTGTACATATAGCATATATACAACATATATGTAATACCCTATCTGTTGACCATTTGTATATCTTCTTTGGAGAAGTGCTGTTCAAGTTCTTTGCTGAGTTTTAAATTCGGTTATTTTGTTACTGAATTGTAGGGGTTTCTTATGCATTTTGCATATTAACCGCTTGTCAGATACATGGTTTGCAAATATTTTCTCCCATTCCATAGGTTACTTTTTCACTCTTTCACTGTTTCTTTTACTGCACATTTTTCTATTTTTGCTTTTGGTGTCATGTCCAAGAAATTATTGCCTGTATCAACATCAAGAAGCTTTTCTTCTATGTTTTCTTCAAGGAGTTCTATAGTTTCAGGTATTACATTTAAGTCTTTAATCCATTTGGAGTTGATTTTTGTGTATGGTGTAAGATAAAGGTCCAGTTTGATTCTTTTGCATGTGGAAATCCAGTTTTCCTAGCACCATGTATTGAAGAGATTGTCATTTCTCCATTGCGTAGTCTGGCACCCTTGTAGAAGATTGTTGGATCATATATCAGTGGCTTTATTTCTGGTTCTCTATTTTGTTCCACTGGTCCATTTATGTCTGTTTTTATGCTAGTATTATACTGTTTGGATTACTGTAGTTTTGTCATATGTTTTAAAGTCAGCATGAGGCCTTTGTGGTTCCATATGGATATTAGGATTATGTCTTCTATTTCTGCAAAAAACGCTTTTGGGATTTTGTATTGCTGTATTGCTTTGGGTAGTATAGTAATTTGAGTAATATTAAGTCTTACAATTCACAAACATGAGATGTCTTTCTATTTATTTGTGTCTTTTATTTCAGTCAGCTTTTTTTTTGTAGTTTTCAGTGTATAAATCTTTCACCTCCCTGGTAAAGTTTATTCCTAAATATCTAAATCTTTTTGATGCTATTGTAAATGGGATTATTTTCTTAACTTCCTTTTCAGATTGATTGTTGTTAGTGTATAGAAATGTAACTGATTTTTGTATATTGATTTTATATCTTCCAACTTAGCTGACTTTATTTATTCTAATTTTATATATATATAT